AAAAAAAAGTGGCCAACTGTTAAGCGGCCTAGGGTTTCAAAAAAAAAATTTCCCAAGTCAATTTTTGAAAAAAAAAAAAAAAAAAAAAAAAAGGAGAAAAATAATTTTTGTGACAGTGGAGCCATGTAACGCTTGAGTCGAGCTGCACACGTGATCCAGTGCCTAAGTTCAAGTCCGGTAATTCTGTTTGCCACATAATTTATTTCAGACCCATAACCAAGGCTGGAAACAAATGAAAGGTTTTCCTTGAAGTCAGTTGAAACTTCAGATGAGATTTCAAACTTTAAGGATCTCTAAATCCCAATAAGATCAGTGATTAGAATATGAAGAAAACGACTGATTCCTAACATTTCAAATCACTCTGCTCATTCCTCTCTGACCTTTGACATCAACAAGTCCTTCTCGCCAACGTAGCAAGGGCTCACTGGATACGTTCTCAATTTTCTGACCTTTATCCAACAATTTGAGGGACAATACAGTGTGAAAGTCATTTCCCGTACTTAATAAAGCAGCCAGGGAAGCTAAGTGTTTAATTGAAATCGTCAGTTTTCCAATAGTAATAACGAAGTCCTGAGAAGACATCCCTGAGTTCCAAGTGTACATGAGGGAGAGGCCTTTTCAATCTAAAAACACAAACTGGAAGGTGGAATCACCAGAAAAGAAAAAGACTCTCTTCTTGGAGGATTTGTTTCTAAACATTGATACGCCACCTTCAGCAACCAAACTTAGTGTCATTCTGTCACAAAAAAAAGCAATGCTGAATGCTTTTTTTCCACCGACAGATTTTGTTAAATTTTTCTATGTATACTATTTCTATGTTAGCATTCACTGTCTAGCAAAACATAACAAAAAAGAAAACAAAAACAAAAACACACACACACAGTTTGTGGGAGGGTGAATGTTGCTCACCTCCAAGTTGTCCAGGGAGCGGGCCATGCTGAGGCGTTTGGAGCGCCCAAAGGAGCGTCTGGCTGAGGAGCGATGTGGCAGAGGAGGGAACCCCATCGTCAAGCCGCGAAACCGACCACCCTGAGGCCAAGGCAATAAAATTAAGTTCAGTTTATGTGCAACAACGAAGGTCACAATAAACAGCCATTTGCCAAATAATGAGAAACCGCAGGAGATCACAGGAGGGTGAATAACGAGAACCTGCTGTGTACCGTATCTTAGAAAAACACTTCTTTTTCTACAAATGGAATCACATACTGCTTTATATTCAAGTAACTAAATAGAAATAAAATGCATAATTGAACAGGATCATACCCTGAATGGTTCTTTTGCATACTGCTGTTGTATACTAGCGTTTATATAGGGAGACATGTTGAGACACAGAGGCCTTTTTTTTTTAAAAATATTTTAAACAAAGAAAGAAATCATTAATGATTTCATATTCTTCAAAAAAGGACAATTTAAGTTAGTTCAAGTACCAAACACTTTTTGTCTTTAGCTTCAAGCTATTTTTCTAATGTGAACCTTCAGGAAGCCTCAATTTATCTGACATACTAAAGAGCTATGTTTTCAATTATCAATTAGCAATGAATCACAAGCGGTTTTATAGACAGCTGGCTCCTTAGTTGACCTGGTAATACGCATGACATGTTAATTTGACTGGATAAAACAAAAATAGAAATAGAGAAATGTTGCTAATCCCAATAAATTGTGTTGCAAATGCATGAACAAGAAGTCACTCTTCTAACATCCTTGATGTGCTTTGTTAGAAAACTTCCCATATTATTCATATATTTTAAAAAAAGACAAACACACATGACACGTTCATTCACTTACTTGTAAAGTGCATTAAAAACGTGGAACTAGAGCACAGACAAATGGTCTGTTCTCATTCCTGAATGATAGTTTTGACTTCAGAAATAAATGAAACTCATCTCAAATGGCCACCAGCTCCTAGTTGACTGACTTCATACAAGGAATTATAAAAATTTTTCTACTGCAATTCACTTTTGAGAAGACTGATGAAACAACGTTCAATGAAGCTGAACAACTGCTTTTTTTTGTATATTGTTCCTCTGGAGCTCTTGATTAGTAATTATTTCATCCACGTTTACCTTCCAAATCAGAGCAGCACAGGCTCCCTAGACTTAGCTAATTGGTATTATACGACTGACTGTTTAATAGATTGATATTTCAGGAGAAATGGAGCATTGTTTCAAAGACCTTGGAAGGTACCAACAAGTTTGTCTGCATCTCTATGTTTTCCTAATTTGAGCACATTTTTCTCACCTACATGTGACATTCCTCATGCCACATGCAGGCATCAGCTGTCAAATCAATCCCACAATTCTAATCCAATGATGCAAAGCATGTTGCACAAAAAGATCAAAACAGCTACATCTTTTCACAGTCTTTGCCCGTGATTGATGATATGATGAATAATGAAGTGCAGCATGCTAAAAACATTAAAACATTACGACGTTTGCAGAAGCACTGGCCTGGAAAAGAAGCTAATTGGAATTAGAGCCCAACATCCGTGCAGAGAGTTGCCACCATAAACTGCCTCACCTCGGAGCATCATTGACAGGGGAAAGAGCATTTACTATCTGAAGCCATTTAACAGTGACGTCACGTCACCAAGGACTGCTGTAAATCAGAGGAGACCGGGACTAATCAAGTGTCGCACTGACAACTGTTGCATTTGGAAAGCACAGAAATGACCAGTCATGTCTCTGAACTTCCCACAAGTAACATCTGCCTTATCTCCTTGCACTGTAGGAGACAGCACAGCGGAGTGGGCCCCGGGTGATAGTAGGAGATATGTAATTAAAAGACGATGACAGGTTTGAGAGGACAGACGCGAGCTGAATCAGATCGCCTGTTTAGGAGGCGGTCGCTGCATTTCATCAGGCATCGGCAGTGGTGTTGCCTGGATACGGAGTCAACCCTACATCTGTGCGTGTGTGCGTTTTCGCGCGCATTCAGATAATGAAGATTCAAACGCTTGATTAAATGCGTAGGCGCAAACACTCTGACATGACCTTTTTTTTCTTGTTGTTGTTGGTTTTTAACCCAATTAGTCTTACAAGAATACAAGAAAAAAAACATCCAAAGACGTTTAATGGAGAAGCACAAACTGGGGTTAAGAAGAAAGGTGGTAAAGAGCAGGGGTTGTTTTGGTTGGCACAGGAGACAGCTTTAAAAAAAAAAAAAAGAGAGAAAACAGAGTTTCTGAGGAAAATTCGAAGCTCTCATCTGTGTAATTTATCAACCTTAAAACACATATAAACACACAATATCACTTAAACATCTTTCCTTCTTATAGAAAAACACTCTACATTAAAAAAAAATCTAAAAATGATTGCAGCAAGTTGGGTTAACAGTTACCACATAAAAACACAATCATAATGAGTATGTCCAACTCTTCTTTATGACTAAGGATGTATCTGACAATTTAGAAACTAATAACCAAATTGCAAAACCAATTCGTTCAATTATTATTTATCGTTTCAGAAACGTTCAGATCAGTTCTTTGACCATCTCTCAGAATTGCGACCAGTATTACCAGCAAGTATCAGCAGTCACGCCACAAGCATGGCATGTGGCGTTTCACTTGCAAAACTTTGTTGCAAGTGAAACCAACACAAACTGAGGCTGTTTAGATTTCAGTCGTCCATTAACGTTTTAGTGTTAATGGACCTTGAAGGAAAAACAGGAAAGTTGTTGGGTGTGCAGGAAGCCAACAGAAAAAGAGAGAGACAGTGCCACCATGTGTTAAACAAAGAGCAAACATTAAGAGACAGACAGCTACAAGCAAATGCTCTCTATTAATTAATAAATCAGTACGATAAATCTGGTTTAATGAGAGTAGAGGGATGAGGATGTTGTTCTGAAAACATCACGGCTTCTTTACCAGTTCAGTCAGAGGAGGGCATTGTTCAGAAAGGTTAGCGTCCATCTTCCTGCTCCTATCAATTTCTATATTTTGCCTTGGTATTGTTAACGCTTCCTCTCATTGTCCGCACTCAGCTCCCAGGAACCTTCTCAACCAATCAGGAATGGTAATAAAAAATAAAAAAAGTGCACATTTTGCAATCAAAGGAGTAATCACAGCTTATAGGCAAGCCTGACGAGATTTTTTAAAAACATGCAAATTTCACAAGCCCAAACACTGTCCCCGTTCAATTCTTATCAGTTAACATGCTTTTAATAAGAAGCCAGAAAAAGTGGAACAATGATATTAGCTTTCAAAAACAAAGACAGCCTGCCATTCCCTCCACCTGCTGCTCTCCACTAAAGAGAAAGACAGAAAACAAGGTAATAATCGGTTCAACAGGCAGTTGAATAATGCTACTAAATGTAGCTGTTGTTTACTCTAAACTTTTGCACAGTCTGCGAGTCAAACAAAACTATAAACAGATAATATTACAACTCTAAATGACTGCAGTACTCAATACTCAAAGAACCCCTGCAAGTTTTCCTCAAGCTGCCATGGTGTGTTTTTAGAAAATCCAGAGACTGCCTGAGGACACGCTAAAAGTTAAAATTTCACATCAATACAATCAGCGAAAGCCTGAGCTAAAACGGTTGCTTAGGACTGGGATAAGTCCACGAACTCGAGTGCATATCAAACTGTGCCACAGTTGAAGGTCAGACCAAATGCTGCCATGCAAGGAAACAACAATTCCAAGCACAGCAGCAGTAATTTTACAACTTAATGGCAAAAACAAAACTATCAAACTGTTTTAATTCCCTAAAATCTACCTCAAAGTGTTTCACATGACATAGCAGGACACAAAGACAGCAAACAAACATTCTTGAACAAAAGCAAGCCTGAAGGAGAAATGACACTGTCACAGAAATCAAATAATGTTATCGTAACTAAACGTGAGTCTAGAGGCAAACAAATCTCTGGTTGTAATTGTTTTATTTGTATAGCTTTAGTTTTTTTTTGTGAACTCCATAATGTGATTTTTTATTTATTTATTTTTTAATTCATTTGAGGACAGACTTGGATTATTAATCCCACTGCTGAACCAGGAGGTTTTTCTGTGAATATGGAGCTACCTTTCATCTCCATGGTCAAACATGGTTGGGGCAGCATAATGGCTGAGGGGATACTCCTCTTAAGCAAGGACACTGAAACTGAGGATGTCTGTCAGAGTTGATAAAAAGATTAACGGAGCTACAGACAGGGTAATAAAGGAAGAAAATCTGTGGGAGGCTGTGATAGAGTCATGTGTATTCAACAAGGACAAGGACCGTTAAACAGCTAGAGCTACAATTAACTAGTTTAGATTAAATCTACACACTGTGTTCTGGTAAAATCAAAGAAATTAAGAGAGAGTTTATGTGTTTTTCTTAACATTAAAATACATGTAAACATTCTGCCTAAGCATCGTCTCAGGCTGGGGGTGAGATTATGGGATGTATATAGTCCAACTGGATAGTTGTGTCTTTTTCTACTTCTTAGTAAAATTGATTTCTAATACAATGCATAACAATTTGAAATTCTATCACTTTGACGAATCTGCTCCACTGCAGAAGACAGGTGGTTTTCAGGTGACAACAGATGTCTGCTTGGTGCATAATACATGATCTGATACAGGAGCAGTGAGGATAAATAACTTATCCATCCACTTTTACCAAGCCTGGGAACTAAGCCAGCATTATGTGCTGCTATAAGCCTATTTTCTGAGGTATATGTAGCATTTTTAAAAATCGAGACGTTTAATGTCTGAGGGAAAGATGTGAGACTCTGTGAGCGCTGTGAGAAGAGGACCGAAAATGCAGAGTGAGCGGCATGAATTTATAGTCTCAATAATATGTAGCCTTGAACGCTCTCTAGTCATAGTAAATTTCCACGACAGGAATGTGTGATGCGGGGGAGCGACCTATGACTGGGCTTTCTCGTCTCACAGTCACTTTTAACACAACTATCTCACAGTCCAAAAACTGACTCCGTTCGAAGAAAATTTGTCTTCGGCTGATACTTTGCGAAATAAACTGAATTGAAATACGAGCAGGAAAAGTGATAAAAGTCTGACTTGTGCTGATATTTTATATTCTTACGAGCTTGATTAAAGACGTACCTTTTTCTCTCCCTCCTTTGAGTTCGCCTCTCGCTTCTTCTCTCTTTCGGCTCGCCGTGCTCCGCTGCGCTCCCGGTCTCCAGCGCCGAACAGTTTCTTGGCCCACTCGTCTTTCTGAGCAGCCAGCCGGTGGCTGTGGAGGTGTGCAGGAGGGGGAGGAGGAGGAGGGGGAGGAGGAGGAGGGGGAGGATGACTGACACCAGGTGGATGCATGCGGTCCCCTGGGGCCAGCGGGGCCCGGTAGCGGTCGGCAGGGATCTTATTCATGGGTGGGGGCAGGGTGCTGCAGTTGGCTGATGACCATCCGTCGGTGGACTCGGCGTAGGACTCCTGATCGCTGCTCAGGCCCTGGAAGTGGCTGTGGTGGTGCTGGTGCTGCTGACGCCAGTCTCTCAGCACATGGACTGGCAGCCACCTCTGAGGCTCTACTCCTACCCCTCCTCCTCCTCCTCTCCTGTCTCCTCCCCCCATAGCTCCACCCAGCTTCCTCGCCGGGTAGTGATGCACATTGAGTCCTTGTGAGAGTCTGCTTGGCAGGTCAGGGTGAGCCAGGGGGAGAGGGTGAGGGAGGTCGGCGAGGTGCGGGTCGTGGAGGTAGTGACCGTTTCTCAGCATCGGCGGAGGAGGTGGAGGCGGAGGGGGGTGGGAGGCGGCAGCCCCAAGGATGGGGCTCCAGGCCTGCTGAGAGGAGGGCGGGCTGTCCCACTGGCGGGCCCCGGACATGTGGTTGTGACTGGGAGGGCCCCCGAGGTCCACCAAAAGGACTCGGTTGCTCTTCTCCTCGGGTAAAAAGTTGCCGATTCCACTGTCGCTGTTGCTGCTGGTGCTGTGGTTCTGTTGGGCGTCGTTGTCTGGATCGTGGAAGGCGCGGGCCCGAACCCCCTCGATGTTGTCCCCCATGTCTCGGTAGAGGACAGAAACAAACTGGAGCAGAGGCTGAGAACTGGGTGGGAACTCCAGGCAGCCTCCTGTGTCTGGGTCGGGGGTGCACTCAAAGCCAAACCTCCTGGCCACCCCTGAATGGACCTGCCCATACAACACACACAATGCTCAGTACATACACTTAAAAGGCACTGGTTATTAGCATTCCCAAAAACATCTCAAGCTTCATAGATTTTTGGGCTTTGGGACTTTTATGTAATCTTTGTTTTATAGATTACATAAATATTTTATAGATTTGCTTAAGTGCAACTATCTCTTTCACATGAAAACCACAAACTATCAGCTGACAGATGAAATGAATGTAATGGAAGGATGATTTAAACAAAATAATAAAATGTACAAATAAAAATAAAGCATTGGAGTCATGACTTTGTGGCAAGGAGAAAGCATTTGTTAAAAGTCACATGACGCTAGGTTTGCAGTTTGCCACAAGCCATTTCAGGAGCCCGGCAAATGAGGAAAAAGGTGCTCGGACTCAGTTCAGATGAGTCCAAAGTGGAACTTCTTTGCATACGGAACATCATGTTGAACGGACAACACTAAGACAAAAACGAGAGTGAAACGTTCACCTTCTGGCATTAAAAAACAACTCTATCTTTACCCAGCTCCAGTCCTAAATCCAAACAAGAGACTTGAAAATTGATGTACACAGGCACTCTTCCTGACCGAGCTTGACCTAAGTTTTACATGAGAATGTTGAAAGTTTCATTCTCTAAATGTGCAAAGCTGGCCCAGAAGACTTACAGCTAAAGGCGGTTACAAGCTCATCTTCTTTTTCAGATATTTCTCCTCCCTATTTAGGCCGCTACCCCAATGACGTGACACCAGATAAGCGTAAGAAAACGGATGGTCTTTAAAGACATTTTTACACTGATATGACTTAAAAATGAGAAATTTAGCAGCACTTCTTTAGTATAAAATGTAAAAAATATTGTACATGGTCAAAAATGCTTCAGTATCTCTGAATTACCTGGTGATGACATAGTTCTGGGTCCACGATGAACACGTGACATGAAGTCCTTAAACTTCCTTCGTCGTCTCGCCCGTTGCTGAAGTGGCGATCATCGTGGTCGTCCGTGGCCTGCATGGTTACCAATCCGAAGAATCGGCGATCGTCAGGACAACAGGCGCTGAAGGCGAGTTTCTCTGCAGGGTAGGTGGCCAAGACCTGACCTCTGTCGCTGCACAGGAGTACGCTGTCATGCATGACCTGTCAGGGTGTAATGTATTCATTTTACTGCCGTGCAAACAAATGAAGTTCACACATTTACAAAGTGTAGTTAAAGAAACACCGTGTTTCAGTTAACTATTTAGTTTTTATATGCAAACAGAAATAATTGTGTTATTCACCACAAATGTGTGGACTGTGCTTACAATCCAAATCTGATTCAGGGAAGCTATATTTCACCACTCGCTAGAGTGGTGAAATATCCATTCAGAATTACGCCAAAAGCTTGATGACAGCGACAAAAATAGTTTGGTTTCTCTGCAACCTGCTAAGGGACATTAATCTAACCGCTAATGAGAATATATGTCTGTACTGGAGCCTGTATGTACAATTTCAAGCTGGTTTTGAGTGGAGAAAGCCTACAGCAAAGTCAAATATATAAATACAATTCTTATTCTTTTAAGGTAGTTGAAGTTTTATGCAACAAGTGGAAAAAAACAATAAAAAATGTATCTAAGGCAGATAACTAGAAGAGTCAAGTCCACCTTCATGAGAACCAATGAATGGATCTTCTGCTCGGCCCTGAGGCGCCTCATGCTCCCTCTGATGGCTTGCAGACTGTCATTCTCCAAGTTGGTTCCTGTTGAGGCGAGCTCGATGGAGCCGAGATACCCGACAATCATCCCCACGTTAAGGATTCCCTCGCTGGGCTCAAGACCAAAGTCAGCACCTTCTCCAACATCCATATCTTGCTCTTCGTGGTGGTGAATGTGGAGGTGGCGGAAGTCGGACTCCAGGAAGACAGAGTCATCATTCAGCACCTGGGCCATCTCCTCCTCAGAGAGCAGGTTGGGGTTGCTCTGGGTGCAGGAGGCATTGCGGTACGGGTTGAACTCCGGATCGGACATCTGATGCGGCTTTGAGGACGAGTTCACCCCGGGCCTGTCCTTGTCCGAGCTGCTGGAGGAGTGGCTGGAATTTTCAAAGATCATGTTGAAGATTCCTCCAGATTGCAACTCGGCCACCACCTTCTCTGCTCTGTTGATGCCAAGCTGCTTGGAATCCACTTTGGGTTTGTACCAGCCTCCTTTCGGTCCACAGCCTGACCGGCCATTATTGTTGCCCACACCGTTATTGTAAAAAACATCCAGCTCGTCATCACTGGAGCAGGAATCCAGGTAGGCCGCAGTCATCGTGTTACTGCTGTGATGGCGACTGCCAGCGGCCCGTTGAGGGTGGCGCCGGTGGCGCTCGCCCTCAGCAATGACCAGCTTTAAAATGCCAGAGCAACGTCCAATCAGTTTGACAACATCTTCGTGCGATGCCTTGGAGACATTTATGTCATTGACAGAGAGGATGCAGTCTCCTGAGCGCAGCCCGACGTAGTCTGCGGGACTTCCTTTAAGGATGCAGCTGAGGACACAAGGACTTTGGCCTGTCAGCGTGAAGCCATACCCTGTTCTTCCTCTCGCAACCTCCACAGCCTGAATGCGGCCATACTGGGCGGCGGAGGCGAGTTGGGGAGGCTGAGGGAATGCCAGCCCACTTCCAACACAGGGGCGTCTCTTGGACGACGAATCCACCTGCCTGGACATTGTGCCAGGAAACCTTCTCTTTTCCATTGATCGGCTGGGTTTCAATTGATCATTTCACATCCTTGCTTTGAGACATGTTCGATGTCTTAACAGCTGGGCTGCTTTGAAAAGATGAGCAGCAGCTCAGAATGCAGCACATGGGTGAGAAGCAGGGTTCAAGCTTCAACACAGCTTTGTGAGTGGTCCCATCATGGTGTCAGTCCTTCCTCCTGGCAAAAGACACCTGAGGCAGAGAGGAAAGATGCAGTCATGAGATTATTTTCAGTATTTCATAATATAAGGCTTTCTATGTGCATCTAAAAAAATATTATGTATTTCATTAAAATTTGATATATCAAATTTTAATCTTTTGCTATTTTTAAACATTATGCCTATATAAGTACACACACACACAAACACACACACATACTGAGAAACTGTTTTTATCAGATGTAAGCCATAATTAAATAAATTAACTAATTTTAGGCCAAGTATTCATATATTCAGATTCATACAGACGAACTGTATTCCATTCATTTACAGAGGATCAGTATAACTGGTTACCCATATTTGGAGACAGAGGTGATAGGAGGAGACTGACGCACCTGTGCGGTGCTCCAGGTAAACCTACAAGCTCTGTAACGACTTCAGGCCACTTTTTTAACTTCCGGTTTACTTTTTGAATTCTAGTTGTTGTTTGGTTTATGTTAGACAGCGCGAGTACGTAAATTATAGTTTTATAGAGATTACCGTTGACTTCATTAGCTAAGCACTCAAGTAGAGTAAGCCTTAGTTGTGAATGGCTACAGACGAGATAAATTGTTATCGTGACTTCACTTTCACATCTGTATGTTTTAAATTCTTTCGCATAAGTTTCAAAAAGTCTCCTCCTTTCCGTTGTTACGTCAATCCGCGTTTCCCCATCAGATACGGTTCCCCCTTCGTCTTCTTGCCGCTCCGCCCCGCCCACGCGG